TCTCTCTCCCAAACATTGTTCTTTTCTCAAAAACATATTTTTGTCCTTTCATTCTTTCTTAAATTGGAACATGCATGTGAACTTCTAATGCAAAACATTTTCTCCTCTAGTAAAGTTTATGCAGGTATTTTTCCAGGGTTGCTTCCCACCACAGTAGTTCAAAGCTCTGTTTCTTGTCCTCTGCATGCGTTCCTTTAAAAACTAAAATTTTAGTCATCAGATGTCATTGACAGATGGCTTGGGACAAACAGCAGCTTCAGCTCATTTACTTCTCTACATGCCTCCTTTCCCATACTTTTCAGCTTCTCAGGACTTTTCTTGGCTTTGTTGTTTTGCAACATAGCGATGCATTTAGAACATGCTTTGCATATAGAAATGCATTTAGGACATGTTTTGCATATAACAATGCTTTTAGGACATGCTTTGCATATTTCAACCAACATTTTAGGAATTTTTATTGGGAATGGCTTTAAGATATCCAAACCATATTATCAGAAACTGAAGTCTTCCATTCACATTTGTGTCTTCCACCTGGTATATATTCAACAAAATATTTTTGAGCTGAATAAGATTTTGGGTAGTTTTCTTTGATGCTGCAACACTCTTCCTAAATAACCCAGTACCCAATCAGCCATTAACCTTCATTCGTAACATGACTTATCGTCTTCTTGGAACTTTGCAAAATTTTAAAACACTTCAAACACACAAAAATAGTACAAGTGAAATCTTTGTACTTACAAGATTAATCAAATGTTGATATATAGCCCATTTTTCTTAATTGTATGGCTATATCTACTTAGAGGGTATACTTACCTTGACTTTGGTAGAATTATATTATACATTTTATTTTATTAGTAGTATTTTGTCTATATACTAAATATCCATTTACAAGTATGTCCTCTACAGCACATTTTTGACAGCTTCTGAAAGTTTTTATTAGTCCATGCTTGCATTACACCATGGTTACGTTTGTTCTGGGAGTTGGGTACATAAGAGATCTCAGTTCTTATCTCATTCCCTTTATCTTCACTCCCTTCTACCTCCCTTATCTCTTGATCCTCTTCCTATTTGAAAAATAACTCTTTATTTCCTATTATCTACCTTTTATTTTGTTCTTCCTTTATAATTCTGGTCTCTCACATAAGAGAAACCATATGATGTTTAAGCTTGTGTGTCTGATTTATTTCCCTTAATACTACGGTCTCAAGGTGCATGTGTTTTCCTACAAATACCTCAGGTTTATCTTTCTTTATGGCAGAATAGTACTCCACTATGGATAGATATCACATTTTCTTTATTCATTCACCCTTTGATGGAGATAATGGCTTTTCTGAGGTTTAGCTGTTGTTCTGATTGATATGTTGTGTCAACTTGAGAAGTCTAAAAGTTTGACTAAATAACTCAGCAGTTCTACATCCTGGGGTGAAAAAGACATGCCTTTACCACTCTAGCATGTTGTTCATTGTGGACTACAAAGATGGAGCTGAAGAGATCTCCTTTGCTGAGAAGAAAGAGGAGAATGAAAGAGATGGCCTAAAGGCATCGCAAAAAGTAGCAAGTCTCCATGCTTTACAGCCTCAAAACTGCAAAAATAAAAGACTTTGCTTTGAGGAGAAAGCTGCAGAGTCTCATACTCCAGAATGGCAGCAGCATAAAAAGTTTGTTCCTCAGAATTGGATTCAGAGTGCCCATTGATCCAGGTACTCAACCCTTACAGCCAAAAGAGGAAAACCTGGCTACTGTTCCACTGGCAGCAGACCTTGGCATTATCTATGTGGTGCTGATTTTAGGTGCACACAGAATGCAAGAGTTCTGATGTTAAAAAGCTTCCACCTCAGCTTTAAAAGTCCTGAGAGGCCAGGCAGCGTACCCTTGAGAGGGCAATGTGTGAAGCTTTGAGTAAAAAACCTAAAGTGCAGTGGAGAACCTAAAAGTTTTTAAAAAGCCAGAGAGCTGGGCATGGTGGCACATGCCTGTAATCCCAGCACTCGGAAGGCTGAGGCAGGAGGATCATTGTGAGATCAAGACCAGCCTGGGATACAAAATGAGCTCAAGTTCAGCCTGAACTGCATAGCGAGACACTGTCTCCAAAAAAAAAAAAAATCCAGAAATGTGGATCATCTCAGAAAAGCTGCAAAGACTGAGTAGAGTGGGCTGAAGAGAGAAACCATGAGAGGTATAAACACCAGAAGTGCCTGTCTTGGTTACTTTTCTTTCACTGACGAGACAAAGTACCTGACACCCAGAATTAAGGACAGAAAGGTTTATTTAGCTCACAGTCTGTGGAGGTTTCAGTCCATACTTGGCTGGCTCCAAGGCAGAGTGGCACATGGCAGAGGGTAACAATTCATGGCAGCAGAAGATAGCAAAAACAGCAAGAGCAGAAAGGGAGAAGTAGTGACAAGCAGCCTCTCTCTCTCCCTTACATATGAAAACTATCTGCCCCAACTATCTCCCTTACATATGAAAACTATCATACCTATAATCCCAGCATGGACTATGGATCAATAAAAAATCTAGAATAGAAGCCTGCCCCGTGACTGCATGAGGAATTGGGGGTACATGCAGACACAAACCATAACAGTGCCATAGGACTGGAGTCATGCAAGCCCTTTAGAACTCAGAAGGTGTCACCTATTGTTTCAGATGCTGCACATGGGAATATAGGAATTAATGTTTTCTCTACTGGATTTTGGATTTGCTTTGGTCCCATTCCTTTGTATTCCGCTGTTTGTAACTTTTAGAATAAAGATTTTTATTTTGTGCCATTAAATGTTGAAAGTGTCTAACTTTTTATTTGTTCAGGGGCTTGTAACTAAAGAGTTTGCCTTACAACTCCGAGGAGACTTGGGACTTGGATTTTTCCACAGTGCTAAAACTGTTAGGACTTTGCAAACTCTTGCAGATGGACTAAATGCCTTTTGCATAAAGGGATGTGCATGAGTCTTTGAGGGGGGGTGAAATGATATGGTTCAAATGCAATATAATGTTGATAGATTTTAACACTGGTTCTGAAGGATTCTAAACCTGTGTCATAATGTTCAAGTTGTAAAATGGTGAAAATAATGTCTTTTTATCTAAAAAAGGGCTTAAAGAAATGTCTGTGGTTGCTAAGTTGACAAGGGGTGAATTGTTATGGCTGATACATTGTGTCAACTTGAGCAGTCTAAAAGTTTAACTAAATAACTCAGCGGTTCTACATCCTGAGGCATAAAGGACATGCCCTCACTGTTCTAGGATGTTGTTCATTGTGTCAAATTGAGACGTTTTAAAGTTCAACTGAGTGATTCAGCAGAACAGGGTCCTTACTTTGTAAATATCCTGAGCTTGTTGAAGAGGAGGGCATGGAGGTGGTGTGGGCGTGGCAGAGCCCCTATACAATACAAGGGAGAAAAAGAGGATTGCTCCCCTCCACCCTTGTGCTCTTGCTGCTTTTGCTGTCTTCTGCTGCCTTGGACTATTGCCCCTATGCCATGCCAACCTGCCTTGAGGCCAGCTGATTACAAACTAAAACTTCCACAAACTGTAAGCTAAATAAACCTTTGCTGCCTTAATTTAGGGTGTTGGATATTTTGCCTCAACAATGAGAGAAAAATAACCAACACAGCTATTATGAATTATGCTGTGATAAACATGGGTATGCATGTATCACTGAAATATGATATCTTAACTCTTTCAGGAAAATACATACAAGGAGAATCACTGAGTCAAATGTAATTTTTAGTTTCAGTTTTTTAAGGGATCTCCATACTAATTTCCATACTGGCTGTACTAGTATACATTCCCACCCATCAATAGTGTACAAGGATTCTCTTTTGCCCTGCATCTTTACGAGCTTTTTTTTTAGCATTTATTATTGTTTGATTTCTTGATGAAAGTTATTCTTTCTGGAATCTCAGTGTTGTTTTAATTTGCCTTTCTCTAAAGGCCAGCAATGATGAATAGTTTTTCATGTTTTTATTGACCCCTTGTACTTCTGAGAAGTATCTATTCATTTCAGTCACCCATGTTTTCATTCGGTCTTTTATTTTGGGGACCTCATTTTTTGAGTTACTTATATATTCTAGATGTTAGTCCTCTGTGCACGGAATAGCTGGCAAAATTTTTTTTCTTATTCTGTAGGTTGCCTCTGCACTGTGTGGGTGGTTTCCTTTGCTGTGCAGAAGCTTTTTAGTTTGATATGATGCCATTAGTCGATTCTTGGTGCTATCTCTTGTGCCATTAGAGTTCTTTGAGAAAGTCTTTACCTGCACCTATTTCTTCAGTAGTTTTACCTATTTTATCTTCTGGCAGATTAAGTGTTTCTGTTTTTAATATTCAGTTCTTTGATCCATTTTGATTTTAATTTAGTACAGGGTGAGTTATATGGGTCTGAACTAAGTGTTCTGCATGTGGATAGCCAATTTTCCTAGCACCGTTTATTAAATTGGAGGTTATCTTCCCTCCAGGGTATTTTTTGTCTCGTTTGCTAAAGAACAAATAGCTGAGTGTGCCTATGGTTATTTCTGTTTCCTCTGTTGTGTTCCATTGATCCATACATCTGTTTTTGTGTGCATATCCTGCTGTTTTAAAATTTAGAGCCATAGAAATGAAAGTACAATATATTAGGATGAACATTTTTAACTTATTACTCATATTTAATTTCTTATAACTAATCTTTATGATTATAATATTATAGATCATTATGGAAGATAACATTTTACCATATTTTTATTATTCAATACTTATAGTTCATGAAAAGTACTTTATACTGGTTTGGATAAGAATTATGGTGAATATATATTGTGCACAATACCTTGTGTACAATTTAAATCATGTTAACATGGCTAATATTTTTTTCTCTTTTTTTTTTGTTTTTTTCCGGTACTGGGAATCGAACTCACGACCTTGCGCTTGCCAGGCAGGCGCTGTGCCACTGAGCTAAATCCCCAGCCCCAACATGGCTAATGTTAAAAATGGAAAATAATGATTTGTAAATTCTTGTCCCCTTTTTGCTGCAGGTATTTATGAGCCTCCATTTCTTGTACTACTGCAGTGAACCAACCTTGGATGTGAAAATTGCCTTTTGCCAGGTGTGTGTTCCTTGCAGGTAAAACAAGGTACAGTATATTCCTTGTATTTCCACTTTGCCCTTCCATCCTGTACATGTTAACACCATTACTGTTTTATATCACGTTAAAAGCAGCTTAGGAGGTACAAGTGGAGTCCTAGGTATCTTTTCTCTTTTTCAGTGCGCTTAAGTTAAAATAGGAATGAGGGGAGTTCTTTTGAGCAATGATAAATGTAATATGTAATCACTGTGCAAAGTGATTTCTTATCGATTTCATTGATGTTAGATAGTAGAATATTTGTTTCCAATTCCTTGAAATAAGGCTTTCATGATAAAAATAGCTTATGCCTGTGTTATTCTACATCTTACAAACTCATGAGCCCAAATCCAGTATTTTTTGCACCTACCTATGTAGGGAACTCATTGATCTCTCAGTGTACCCCAGGGAGGAATGGTGGTGGGTATGTGGAAAAAATAGACAAGAGAGAAGAGCTGAGTCAGATGGAGGTGACCTCTACCTGACGGGTAAGAGGACCTACACAGCAACAGTAGGAGCATTTATTTATACTCTTGCAAAGTTAGTATCAAGAGAGGCAAGGTTGCCTAGCAACTAATGACTGAATTGTCCAGGCAGGATGCTTTTCTCAAGACTGAGGTAGCTTGACTGCTTGAGGCACTCTGGCTCTGTCCTGCCCTCACACCTATGACCAATTTCCAGCTTCAGTCACTCCCAACTTACCTGTAACGCTCAGTTTTCTTTCTGATGTCTAGTTGTAAGCAGCATTTAATTAAAAAGGGAAACAACCATAATCACCAATACAGTAAAGGTGCATTTAACTACGAGCAACTGTAAGAAGACACCAACAGTGGTTGGTATTTTGCATGGACTAGATCAGTCTGGACTTCTGTATTTATTCTAACTCTGTTTTTAAGAAAGAGGCTACCTGGGGTGTCAATCACCTCTTTGGGTATGTTGACAGTAGTCCTAGCTTACACTTGCTGTCATGGTACAGTTGACAGGGCTCCCCTTTCATTTCAAGAATTGTTCTGGTTCACACAATAAATTACATGCAAACCTCATTCATACTCTATACAAGAACTTTAGTCTTTTTGCAGTGATTGTGTTTGTAGCTTCTTACTGAGTGGTGTTGTAAACAGAAAATGACATGCAAAGAAGGTTTAATGGGAAGCGGAGAATGACATGAAACAAGGTTTAATTTTAAAAGGCAGCTCTGTTGCTTCTATTATTTTAGTACAAGCTTTCCTGGCTCTAGAAGTGACATGGGATTATCCTAGAAAGCATAGAAGTGGATAAAGGTAAACACAACCCTGTTTTTGGGTCCACTTTTTTTTTCTGGTACCCACTCTCTTTCAGCATAGTCAGGCTTTATAGGGAACAGTCTGAGGTGTCACTTGCTTTGCATAAGACCTACTGATTTACCCACCTCCTTTTCCTGGAAATACTACAGTGCCTGGAGGCTCAGGCCTGTAAACAACTTCTCTTCTCTAATCTCAGCTCTGCTTCTTGATAACCATGGGGGGAATTTCAGTACTGCCTCTCAGCTGCCATTTACTAGGGAATGTGGGTGAGTTAATCTGCGAGCTGTGCTTCTTTCTCTTCATTTGTAAAAGGGTAAAATAATAACTTTCTGCTTACTGGGGTTGTTAGGAGAACTCAATAAGCTTATACTTGCAAATCACTGACAACGGTGCTGGAAAATGTGTTTGTTACACAGATAATTAAATTTTAAAGGAATTTACATTCACACTCTTGGTGCTTTCCTTGAGTCCTAGAGAGTTAAACATTACTTGTCTTTTAAATAGTCATACAGTTTTATCTTCAACCAAAACCACTCCTTGCAACTAGACTCCTGCCTCACTGCCTGGTTCTGCTAGGTGTCAGATTGGCAGGTCAAACTGTACACATTCGAACTAACCCCTAATCCTTATTTCAAAATTGACTCCTTGTTGTTGTCTTCAATTCAGCAAATGCTAACTCCATCCTTCTAGTTACCATAAAAATACTTGCAAATGTCTTGTGCGTGTCTCCTTGACCTGCCGCATGCTACACACCTGTTGACACTACCTCCAGAAGGTATTCAGTCACACCATGCCTTACCATTCTCTCAGCTACCACCCTGATCAAAGCTACCTTTGTCTCTTGCATGGATTATTGCAGAACTTCTCCCTTTGCCCACCCCTCAATGATTAATTCTCAACTCATCAGAAAGAGCACATTACTCCTTGTCTAGAAACAAAAAAAACAGGAAAACCTGCGAGTGTCTTCCCGTCTCACTTGGGAAATCCTTGTAAAAATAAGTCTTCTACTCAGTTCCAGAAAATTCTTCTGCTGAACTTCTCTTTCCCTGATGTCCAATTTGTCCTCCATCCCCATCCTTCATCATATTCAGGGCTTTGCTCAAATATCATTTTTGAATTGACTCTTTTCTACTTGAAATTGTTCCTTCTTACCCCACACTGTCTGTCCAACTTCCCTTCCTCTTCCACTTTTCCCTTACCACATTGTCAGTTGCTGACATACTGTAGGTGTTGCTAGTATAGGATGCTGTTTTCCTGTCTCCGGGAGAAAGTGTCTGGCACTTGGGTAAGAAATGCTTTCTGTGTCTTGCTGGAGCCAGCAGCCTACAGGCTTGTAAGATAGAGTACATCTCTCCTCATCTCCAGTTTAGTGATTTCAGGTTGGTAGCTGGAAATCTATCATAATTAGAGTTTTCACATCCTGGGAATCAGCAAATACAAATAAGTCACTTTCTCCCTTCTCTTGTCCCTAGTTGGCTGTGAGCATTTACAATGCACCACATCGTTGGAATTTAACTCTTTTTTGACACTGGGCTACAACACTCCTAGTAGTGCTGAGGCTCTCACCAAATGCATGCCTATGGAGAGGAAGAATGACATGCTTTGTTTTGTTTATGGAAACAGTAGCCACTGTGGGAAAAGGACAGCTCTGAATATCTGGCTTCAAGGTCTAGATCCCACCCCTGAGCCATTTCCCCAGCTGCCATGATCCTGGGCAGTAAGACTTAGAAACCAACCAACTAACTGCCAAGGAAATTCATGCTTTATATATTTCCTAAGCCTCAATAGGTATCAATAGAAACACCTTAAATATTCTGCCATTTAAAAGAAATTTCAAAATAGCTTTGTGTGGGTGGAAGTTATTTTTCAAACCAATCTCTAGCACTTGGGGACAGATGTAGATGTCTATTCCTAGTGAGAGTCCTTTTGCGCAAAGGGGTAAAGAAGTGAAGTGTGAACTTTCTTAATGACTGGATTTTCTTGCTCACTGTGCAATTTCGATAGTTAGAAAATATACAAATACATTTTAATAACATTTTTAAAAGTCTCTAAGTATAATAGCGAGCAGGGTGTTCCCAGTTGTTACTCAGAGCTTCTTATTTATTTCCTGTGCATAATTTTTATTTTTATAATAGCAACTATTTTTATTTTCCCTATGACTGTGTGCCTCATTTATTTCTTAGGAGCTGGATGAAAATATTGCGCTTATTTTTAAAGGTAGATTTATCAGGGTTTATTTCCAAATTTTTGGATATACTTTAGTTTTCAAGCTGATCACCAGCAGGGATAAGTTGCTTCTTAATTTCCACTCCACAGACAGTATTTACAGATATTAATTTATTAGCAATTAATTAGTGATCAAATGTGTCCAGAGGTCTACCTACCTTCCCGCCCAGCTCTTCCCTCCCCTCCTCTGCTCTCCCTCCCTTTCCCCTTTCTTTCTTTCCCCCTTCCTTTCCTCCCTCCTTCCTTCCATCCTTCCTTCCATCCTTCCTTCCTTCCTTCCTTCCTTCCTTCCTTCCTTCCTTCCTTCCTTCCTTCCTTTACTGCTTCTTTCTTTCTTGTGGTACTAGGGTTGTACCCCAGAACTTTGGCCCATTTTCAGATATTTTTATTTTGAAACAGGGTCTTGCTAAGTTGCTAAATTGCCCAAGTTAAACCCAAACTGATAACCCTTTTGTTTCAGCCTCCCAGAACACTGAAATTACAAGCATGCACCACAGCGTCAGGCTGGGAAGCCAGGTCTCTTCACCCTTCTGTGGCTTTCTTCATTATCTCATATTCCATTTTCCCACCTTTGCCCCTTTGAAAACACCACAGAAAAGATAAAAAATAAAATTACCTGCATCGTATGCATCAACAGAGAATGTCAACATTATTGATATTAGACTTAACTTTAACTCTTAATCAAATTATTTAAAGAACATGTCCTTACTGACCTTTTAAGCTACTCTTACTAATTTTGTTGTTGTTTTAAAAAACACAACCAAACATATTGCTAGCAGGATGCTTACTGCTATATCCTAGGAAGAAATGTTTCTTTGTAATAGAAAGTTAATCTCTCATTTGCACTGGTCTGACCCCTTCACAAAAGTATAGACTACAGAGAATTTAGAGTGCACAATTTCTTTATTCTCCTGAAAAATAGGTAAGCTGACTTCACCTCTATTCCACATTGAACAAACATATAAAGCAGTTACATTTCACTCTATGAATAAAAAGATCTGCAAAACATGTTATTTTGGGGACTTTGGTGTACTGAACAGATGAATCAGGGTTTTAACCAGGGAGTATATTTACAGAGAGTGTTGGAAACCTCATCCACATCCCCTGGTGTCTGCAGTGCTGATCACATCCTGTGTGTGTTACGTGAGGTTTTCAGATTTCTCTTTGTCTTTGTGCTACCTGGGCAAGACCAAGACATCTCATCCTTGACTCTGGGGCCCAGAAATTTATCTTAACCTTGTATATACTTAATACCTACTTTTTGAATGAATGAACAAAAGTAAAAACAGCTTCTTAAGTAGAAATGTGTTTGCTTGCTTTTCAAATCAGATCAATTTTTCAGCATCTTCACAGCTTACAAGTGCTTATTGATACATTTAGTTATGCTCTGGTTATTTTACTAGTCACAATCATGGAAGCCTAAGATTAATCTAACAGTTATTAACATACTGTCCTTTCTAAATGTTTTCCCAATCC